AAAAAATGATAAATCTGACACAACTGCAATTAAAAAAAGTTTTTTTTGAAACATTGATTCTGGCAGGGCGAAACGGCACAATAATTAAAAACTGTTCAAATTCTTGATGCTTTCTAACGTACAACGGCGGTGAACTTTGCACTTGTGCTTTGATCGGCTCTCAAAATACCGAAAATACCGACCACTCCCGTACAGTTCATCTGTGCGTATCTTCCGTTCTGTTGTTTCCACAGTTTCAGAGTTGAAGAGGAAGTGAAACTAAATTTAGAACTGTCTGTTGAAATCATAATGAAGGATCATTGTTTAGCAATAACATTAAAAAGAAAAAGAAGTATATACAAATTTCGTCACAACTAAGCAGACAGATGAATTTTATGATGATACACCGAGAAAGTTCAATAATCATCGATATATACAAAGCATAAAAGCTAAGAAGGCAAATATGACGGTACACATAACTGCTCAATCAGCAAGCAACCTCTTGCTATCCTTCATTCTGCGATAGAAAAATGCCAGGATAAACCAGTTTTCTTTTATCCATCGGTTAAGTTCAATTGTGGTTTTGATGAAGCATAGAAAAAAAATTTTTCAACGACTTCTTTTTTTTGTTTTTTATCCGATTTTAAGTGATATACGAGATTTTTAAAACAGTTTTCAGCTTTAGTAAACAACTCGTTGAAAAATAAAAAATTTAAGATCGAGTACGTAAGATTTAATAAAGTTCAACTTTGAAGAAAAAAAAAGAATAAAAACTTTCTGGTCCTGCTCTTTTATCAAACTGTTTGATTCATTAAGCACTCATGGTTAGAAAAAAAAAAGTTGTGGTATGATTGCCAATGTTGCCGTTGAAGACGATGACGACGTAACATTACTGTTAAAGCTAGTATTGGTGCTGATGTTAATGATAGCCAAGTGGATACACATTTGCTTACTGCTGAAATATGGAGAAGAAAATAAATGGCAGTTTTTTTTTAGAACTAAACAGTCTATAGAAATTTAAAACTGAGTTGAATTTTGTTTTTTCTCTTTATTCTGCTTCTTTGACAAATTACTGTCAGGCAGATAAAGCTTTCCAAATCATTTTTTAACAATTAATTTTTTGTATCATTTTCAGTACAGGAACTTTGGTGTGTTATCGTCGTAATATATACAAACAACAATTGTTTCAAACAGCGTCAAAATTGACTGTGATAAAACAAAGCAACAAAAAAGTTATTCATACGAAAGTAATAAACGTCGTTAGAATGTAAAAAAAAAATCAAAAAATCAGACTACTCAAATTTTAGTTGCTTAAGCGTTTTAAGCGAAAAGACACTTAAGTCGAGAAGCGATGGAAGACGAGGATTAGAGGAACGACAGAAAAGATAGAGGTATAACGAAAAAGACAATAAGGGATAATTAAGAATTAAAATTTTAAACAATCAAAGACTTATCGCTCAAACAACAGCAAATTTCTTTTTAATCCACTTTTTTTGTCCTTTAGAAAACAAATAATGAGGCTATACAGGTACATCAAATCCACCACTAAATTAAAAAAAATAATGCGAAACTTAAATTGGCATACGGTATGACTTGTGGTCTTAAAGCGATCTTTTTCACCACTTGCTCGGCAAGCATTGCAAAAATTTTAGTCTAGAAACCCGGCCCAATCATTTTTTTCATTTCTGTAGTATTGTAAAAGTAAAAAAAAGGAAGTGGGAAAAAACAGGATTTCTAACACCGGTAGAATTTTATAGAAACAACAGGAGAAAATCAAAGTTATTTAGGAAATTTTTTTTACTCTGTTTCATTTTTATTCTTCTATCAAAAAACTAAAATAATAGAAAGCCCCAAAAAAACAGCAACAAAAAATATACGTATATAATGAATAAAAAAGAAACAAAACAATTAACAATGAGGTCATAAGATTAAACTTCTATAATTAAACTGAAAAAAAAGAGAAAAAGAGAGGATAAGGGGAAAAAGTTTTTTAACACACTTTAAATAAACCTACAAGTTTTTGTTTTATTTTTGCCCTTTTTTTCTTTTGCAGTAAAATTTATTTAAGATTTAGCAAACACTAAAAAGCTTCAAATACTTTTTTTATGCGGTTCAAACGTTTCTTTTCATTTTTCTTTTTACTCTGTTTTCGTTTTTTTTCTTCGCCTTTTTTTTCTTTTGCTTTGCCTCAAGTTCTAATTTTCCAACTTTAATTGTTTGATATCTAACTGAAAGCTCTGACAAGCAAGCAAGTAAGCAAGAAGGAAAAAAACTGTGCTTTAGTAAATGTAAACTTTGAAAAATGTAAAGGTTTTTTTTGTATTTGTGTGTTTGTGTGCTATGTGATAGTCGACAACAACCGTACAGTTGTTCTCAAACAGCATTCAGCCAACAGCAACAACAACAATAACAGACAGCAGCAGCAGTAGTAGTAGCAGCAGCAGCTGCAGACAGAACTAGAAGCAGTTGGATCAGAAGCGGCTTGGGCTGAAGCTTCTTCTGTACACCGGGTTACGGTTGCTCGACATTGGCAGCTGCTATTGCTTCGTCGACAACCATAAAAACAGGTCTCTTCTTTGGTTTAACAGTTTTTCATCATCTCCATATTCATCACCGTCCTGTTGATGCTTATTTTTTTATTTTTATTTATTTATTTTTTTTTTTGCCATTGTCTGATTGAGTCCTCTTTTCGATCATTATTAGTAGCTGTAACGAAAAGGAAAATATAAGAGAAAAAAAGAAAAAGAGGTTTGAAGAATAAAAACTTCTTTAATA